AGCAAATTAAACAACAAATGATCTTATTTAGCAAATTAAAATTTTAGAGGGAAAAAGCTAAAACAAATGATCTTATATGCTGTAATAGTGAAGAAACACATTTTGATCTTATATGCTGTAATAGTGAAGAGACACAAACAAATCATCTTGACCCACAGATGTTTGATCTTTAGATTTTTTTTTTTTTTTGCTTCAGAAAAAAACAAACTGAAGGTAAAAAAACAGAGGTAAAACTGAAGGTGATGGTGGATGACGGGATGATGAAAAAAAAAACACAGAGGTAAAAAAAATGAATGGAAAAACAAAAAGAATGTGAGGAGAGAAGAGTGCCTTACCTGGTGATGGTGGAGAAGAGAACTTTCGATTGAGCTTTGTTCTTCCTCTTCAGAGCTTTCTTCCTTCTTCAAAACTTTATCAGAGCTTTGTTCATTGATACATATGATGTAAAGAGTGTCTTACCTGGTAAGTGCAGTGGGTTGGTGAGAGTAGATAGGTAAGCAAATCTGAACCATTGAATTTTAGTCATTGATAAATCTAGACCATTGAAACCCTTTTCAATCTCAGCCATTGTTTTTGAATTGGACAAATCTAAGCTATTAAAGATAGTTTGTGAGAGAGATATTTTTAAAAACAAATCTGAGCCATTGCTTTTTAAATTTGATAGATCTGAACCATTAATTTCAAAGACATTTTCAAATGAACCCTTCCATTGTTATATAGATTTTTTTCAATACAAATGTAATAAAATAAAAATATTACTATAGATGATATATATATATATATAAACTCCACAAAATAAATGGTTATCAAAATGGCTCATATAATAAACCTTACGAACTTTTCACTTTTTTTTCAAACTTAAATTTAAGCTTGAAAAAAGTCAAAGCCATTACGAAAATTAGGGATAAGTATGGTCCGATTTGATTGATTTGGAATGAAATCAAGACCAATTAAAATTATGCAACTAATTTGAACCAAACTATTTAAACACGGTTTGGTTTGATTTGAAATTACAGTTTCACATAATATGTTTACAAGAAGAATCATATAACATTTTCAAAAAAATTCAACCTATTATAAAATTAAAAAATAGTAATAACACATCCGTCAAACAAATTACTCATAATATTCACCAATTAAATAAAAAAGCATAATATTAAGTAAACATTATTCAACATTAATCTGTCATAATTTATCAAAACAGAAAATTTCAAAACATAAACGTGTATATCGTTTCACCATTAACTTAAATAAATATAATATTTAGCAAATAAATATTTATGGTTTAGGTTATACCATTTGGTTCGGTTCAAATTTGAAACCAAAAAATCAAATTAAGCCAAGCCAAACCAAACGTTAAGTCCCATTAAATAGGGTCAGTTACATAAATCCTCCTTCTCCATGCGGTTTTATCAAAAGTCATTTCATTAGTTAAATTAAAGCCTTGTTTAGCATAACCTATATAATCCATCTTTTTATCTTTTTATCTTTTTTCCATCACATCACCTCTCTACTTTTCTGCACATCTTTTCGTAAAAAGACAAAAAGTGCACTTTTTTAGGACACCCCAAACCAACCCTAAATAGATTCATATCTCTATTTACAACGCTAGCCAATGTTAATTTAGACCTATCCAATCTCCTAATACTGAACCAATCAGTAGAGAATGATTTCTCAATGAGATCGATTTCTCAATATTCTAAACCTTAACTAAACCACAAATTAAAAATACTAAATCAAACCTATCAGATTAATTTGAACTGATTCAGTTTTCGCTTTCCTCACTCAGCACTAACAAAAACATCAACACTTCTTATATGAACGGTTTGCACTTTTCATCATTTGATTAAATAGTTAATTTGTCGACAACAAGACAGGGATGTTCTGGTGATTTGCGCCATATTTACTCCCTTTTATTTATTTATTTTAAAGTGAAGAAAAAAAATTGTAAAGAAATTTTAAAAAAGCAAAAGAAAGTCAGCCCGTAAAGCAAAAGAAGAAGGCATTGGTTCCACTGGATGCCTCGGTAACGAGTTTGTTGAATTACCCCTTGAATTCAAGTTAAATTACCAACATTGGGCTTAATAATTAGTATGAGTGTTGCTAAATACATCAATCAAATTTTTTATTTGGAGATATTTTTTATAAACCTTACTTTTAATATTTAATTTATTAAAAAGTTTCTTTTAAGTATTTGTATCGTAATTAATTTATAAAATATTATTATATTTCAATAAATCTTATTATTTTAGATATTTGATTTACTAAATTCTAAATGAGAGCCTCTTTATCTACATTTTTTTCTTGGGGTTTTGCTCGGAATGCCGCTCGGAAAGGAAGGGGGGCTCCAACCTCCGGCCACCTCTCTCCTCATTCCTTCCTTCTCTTTTGCTTTCTGCTTTTTTGGTTCAATAAGCCATGAGTGTTCTTTCCCTCTTAGTAGAAGCTTTTGTTGGTTTTCTTCCCTCTCCTTCTTACTGATGCCAAATCTGCCTTGTTCCCCCCTCCGCCAACTCATGCCAAAGTTGTCACCAACATTCCGCCACTAGATCTGCCACAGATTTGGCCTGCCTCCATGGATTTGCCCCTTTTTGAGTTTGAGGTAGAGTCATTTTTCTTGTTTTTGCTTTGTTTTCTTAGGTTTTTGGTTGTGTTCTTGGAGTCCATCGGTGTCGTGGTTATAGCTTACCAACTCTATGGTTGTAACCTATGATTTATATCAAACATGCTCTAATGCCAAATTCTTATGATTAGCTTTACTTCAAGTACGAATACGAGTACTATTATGCGTCTGGATAGTTTCATAGTTTTCGCCTTTGTGCTTCTTGTAATATTTTTACTTTGTTCGGTGTAATGTTTATTTGTTTGATAGACCCTTCTATAAATTTGGCTATCCTTAATGAAATTTTCTTTTCATTAAAAAAAATATAAGATATTTTATGAACAATTTTATCCTTACAAATATTGTTTGAATCCTTAGCAACTTGGTGACGTGAACATTCACATTAAATAAATTTGAGACTGTGAATGTTCACATCATAGAACATTTACACTGTTAATGTGAACATTAATGCGCGCTTCAACCTATTATTATTAGGAGTATTTTGATAACTATGTTGCCCATAAAACTTATTGGAACATAAGAAAATAACTTGAACTAAGTGAAACATAAGTAGGTGAAAATATTATTTGATAATCATGGAACATTTACCCTGTCAATGTGAACATTTATGCTGTCAAATTTATTTATTTATTTTTATTTTATAAAATTGCATATTCAAGTGAGATCTTGTTTGATAATCTCATTAATTAAGTTTTAAAAATATAAATTTCATAAAAAATATATAATAGAAATTATTTATTTTTAAAGTTTAAAATATAAAAAGTACAAAGTAGTTCAAAATAGTGCACATCAAGTTGCTAAGGGTTTAAAAAATATTTATAAGGGTAAAATTATCTATAAGATACACCAAATATAAGAATTAGAATTTGATAGATCAAATATTTAAATAATAGAATTTATTAAAATATAAAAATATGTTATGATCTAATTAGAATATAAGTAGTCAAAAAAGATCTAATAAATTTCTCTTCAATTAGGTCAGATTAATTGCTTATGCATAGATTGCAAAGTTGGAAAAACAACCTTGTAAGTAGAGACACGTATTCTGCACTCTCACAATCTACACCAAAGGATTAATTTCTTGTGCGTTAATGAGTCTCATAGATTGCAAAGTTAGAAAATCAACCTTGTAAGTAGAGACACGTATTCTGCACTCTCACAATCTATACCTAAGGAACATTCGGTGCGTTTGGTTTATATTTTAAGATAAATTTTTTTAAAGAGAGAGTTTACAATTTTTTTTAATTTGTTTGATTGTATATTTTAAAAATAATTTTAGAATTTGAGAGATTGAAATGATTAGATATTTTGTTATAGTTAAGTAGATGTTTGTGAGAGAAAAAGTAATTGAAAAGAGAAAGAAGAGAAAAAAATGATTGATTGATATGTAAGAGAGAAAAAATAATTTTCAAAATAATTTTCAAAAAATCTAAACTAAACAAAATTTAAAATTTTTTTCTCAAAAATTATATATTGAGATGCAAACTAAAGGTTGGTTTGGAATGTTCTAAAAAAGTGCACTTTTTGACTTATTGGCTTATATGGGTTGGGCTTGGGTTGGGTTTGATGTGATGTATTAGAGAGGTGATGTGATTTAAATAAGATGATGTGACTTAAATAGGATAGTGACTTTTTAACTTTTTGTGTTATTTAGTTTATGCCAAACCAACCCTAAACCAGCCTAGTTGTTCTTTTTCTCACGATTCAAGTGTAGATGTTAAAATGAGGGTGGTGCCTTGGGACGTAGCACCGTTCTAGATTAGTTTGGGAGGGGGTTGTCTTTTTAATTTTTTAGTTTTTTTAATTATTTTAACCTAAGGTTAAAAATCTAATTTGAGGGTTTTTGATTTTTTTTATTTTTTTATAAAAGAAAAAAATATAATAATTATGAATTGAATGTAATATTTTATCTTATTAAATTAAAAAATTTATTTTATTTCTTGTGATTAAAATAGCAAAAAAAATTCCAAAGTCGACTTCCCAATCGAAGCCTCCGTAATTTTTAAGGCCTCGTTTGGAAACTATTCCGTTTAGTAAAAAAGTCAAAAAATTATTAAAAAAGTCAAAAAGTCAAAAAGTCAACAATTCATATCAAAAAGTCAAAGATTCTCTTTTCTCTCTACTTTTTGCACATCTTTTTGTAAAAATTCAAAAAATAATTCCAAACATACTAATTTTTTTTAGCTCATATTTTAATCAAATAGTCAAAAAATTACTAAATTAACTTGTTCCCAAAAAGTCAAAAAATTATTAAAAAAATAAAAAAGCTAACAATTCATGTTAAAAATTCAAAAATTCTCTTTCCTCTCTACATTTTACACATATTTTCATAAAAAATTAAAAAATCATTCCAAACATATTATTTTTTTTTCCCTCATAAAATTTACACTAAAAACAAAAAGAAAGAGGAAAACGTAGCGAAGCCCATTGCACGGAAACCTCTACTGGTTAGCGTCGTTCATCTGACGATAGGGTCCGGTGGTCGCTTTACACAACAGGTACCCCTATAATAATCTCATTATTCATCTTCTTTCTTTCGAAAACTGATTATTATTATTAATTCTAGTGTTTTGGTTTTCGAATTGAAGACTAAATTATCATTTTCGTGTAGAGAAGAGAATCTATAGTTGGTGATAATGGTATGAATTACACTTAGCTACTTGGAATTAACAAATCAAATTTATTCTTTTTGCATTCCTCTTTCACTCGGTATAAATATTTGGTCCATAGATTGTATCTGTATATGTCATAGTCTTATGTATCTAGAAAGGATAATGAAACGGGAAATAGAGTTCATCAATCATTGCAAATGATTGGAAGTTGAAAGGTTTTCAGACTCTTAGACTCTCTCTCTCTGGTGTTAAGTTAATGTATTTCGATAGATATTCTCTCTGTTAGGCTTAGGTTTAGGTTTTCAATATAATTTGTCGTCAATTTATGTATTACTTGCTTGTGAATTCTAGTTTTAGGAATATTGTAAGGAGAAAGTAAACTTGTGGTTGTTTGGTATGTTTAGGTGCCGTTTGGCAAAGTTTATAGTTTACTGTAATATGTTTATGTTTACTTTTGTTAAAAACAAAAGCAAAAACATGTTTGGTACAAACATTTGTGTTAAAAACTTGATTTAAAAGCAATGGCCGGCGGGAGGTACTAAGGCCTTGTTTGTCATAAGCTAAATAAGTTCATTTTTTTTTTATCTTTTTTGGGTCACATCAATCAATATATCTTCTCTACTTTTCTACACATCTTTTTATAAAAAGTCAAAAAGTGCACTTATTTAGAACATCCCAAACCACTCCTAAATCTTCAATTTTTCTATTTAGAGTCATCTATTTACTAGTATGTTTTATGAGCGTTGATCATTTTTCTCGGAAGCTATGTTACATGGATGAGAATTAGCTTGGGGAACATTTTGTGGTTTTTAGGGATAATGCAACAAAAGTTTTATAGTAAACATTTTCAATACACTAAGTTCCAAGATAAAAAAACAAGAAAACAAAAACTCTTCCTATCAATGAAATTTGCCATGTTGCCCTTGTTCCGTCAATCACCAAAGATGGGGGAAACGACTATAGATGAGATGTTGCCCCCCGGCCTTGATTCTTTTTCTTAGTCCGGGTTAAGCCGCATCCATTGTTAATGGCTATTTTTAATTTCTTTTAAATTATGAATTGATTATATGTATGATGTACTCTATCCAATGTTTTAAGGTGTAAAAATTTATAAAAAAACAACGCCCACTTAGTACACATTAATGTGTGTTTGGGAGGGTAAAGATTGAGTCCACACCTAACCTTTGGCATAATACACAAAGTGGTGGGCCCAAGACTTGAACCCATAACCTCAAGGTGTAAAAATTTATGTGAACCGGAAAAGAACCTCATCTCAGAAAACTATAAACATATACGTTACTGAAAGGGGAATTAAATTTTCAATTTTTCTAGTTAGAGTTGTCTGTTTACTAGTATGTTTTATGAGCTTTGAGCATTTTTCTTCGATGATAATTAGCTTGGGAACATTTTGTGTTTTTTGGGGGCAATGCAACAAAAGTTTTATAGTAACAATTTTCAATACACTAAGTTCCTAGATAAAAAATAAGAAAACAACCCTTGTTTGTGTTTTATTTTATTCCATTGTTATTGGCTATTTATTGTTGATTCCTCTCAATGAAATTTGTCATGTTGCCCTTGTTCGGTCAATCACCAAAGATGGGGGGAACCACTATAGACGAGACGTTGCCCCCCCAGCCCTGATTCTTTTTCTTAGTTCGGGTCCAGCTGCATCCATTGTTAATGGCTATTTTAATTTCTTTAAAAATTATGACCTGATTATACGACTTCATGCTTCATTTCAATTGATTTGAGGAGGTTCTTCTCCAATTCATAGAAATTTTACACCTTAAAACATTGGATAGAGTACATCATACATATCTTCATAAACTAATGCCATAACATTTTCATGAAATTGTTTTATGGAAAAATAAAAGTAAACATTACTAGACTAGACCAAAGTTAAAACACTTTTTGAAGTTAAAAATATGATCATAAGATGGAATGAAGTTATAGCTGTCATGATAATGGGACCTCGCAAATGTTTCATATAAGCATTGATACTAATCTTGTTTACAACTATGTTGTCAAAAGCTAATTAAATGTGAAATGCTTTCTCTGAAGCTTCAAACACTTTTTGACGATAAGAGAATAGTATCTATGGACTTGTAACATATAAAGCCCTTATAAGCTTACAAGTTAAAGTGAAGTTCAAATAGTTACTGATAACAGATCAACGCCATCAGGTTCCAATGATGGAACAGCACGTGCCAAGTTCTGTGCTTCCCACTGGGGATACACATGACAGTCCCATAGAGAATTAACTCCTGGCCACTGCTTCGCAGTTGGTGTTCTCAACAACCTTCAACAATGCACATACCCATGAAAATAAAAGTCACAATGGGACTGAAATACAAGTGCAATCTATGGCCATTACAATAACAGTAATGCTAGACAAACAAAATATGCCCTAGTACATTATAAAAACTTATGCAACCACCATTTCTACCTTCCATTTGAAAGCAAAGCAACAACCATACTCCTATTGATTTTGAAAGTAACCTATCCATCATTCTTTAACAAAATTAATCAAAAGAGGATGTACAAGTCCATTCATTTTTTCTTTTTTTAAAGTGACCTAAGACCTGTCCATCATTCTTAAAAAAAATTGATGAAGTGTATGTAATTCCCTCTTCCTTTTTACATCCAAATTACTTTGGAATGAACATCCTCGCTCTTTCATCCCGCCTCTCCTTTTCCTATACATGGCCCATGTTGGGGAAAATTATCGTTCACAAATTTATTGAGGTACATGTATGCAGAAATCAGTTCGACCTTCTGTTTGCTCTTACCAACCTAACATCAAACACCACAAGTCAAAAGCCAAATTTCACCTATCTTTTACCACGGAAGCTAATAAAATTCAGCCCCAAAGTCCTTCCACCAGTATGCCACATGAATTTTTCCACTCTAATTTGTAGGCGAGTGTCTTTACACACAGAGAGAGAGAGAGAGAGAGAGAGAGAGAAACATACACATCAGAATAAATTAAAGCTAAGGGTGTATGGTGGGAACACCCTCAAGGACTGGCAAGAGTTACAATGGGAAGGTAATCGTCTCACAGATATCAACAGATTCCATCACAGATGCCACATATACATATTTGCATGCATTTAAGCAGTCATTACGTTTTATGACTTTCCATGAGAACAATCTCTTAATGACACCATTGGCATTTTGATTTCCACACACACCCCTTACGTAAGACTCTCCTAGTTTAAGGCTTTAAGCTAACTTAAATCAAGCACTGACTCCTTGTTCTATGGTTATTTTTAAGTTGACTTCTTTGTAGTTGAATATTGATTGGATAATTTCAGTTGTATACCAATGAAATGGGCCTTCATCTGAGACTTAGAATATGCTCTTTCATTGCAGCTGCAATGATTGAAAAATTTGGGTGAAACACAGTACATGTCCTAGGTGCACTCAATTGGTATTGCAGGATTATCATAAAATCTAAGGGCACATTTTCTAGTTCTCTGCTTGTGAAGTTTGCCAGTTGTTATATTAATCTCTTAAAACTTTACCAGCTCAATTAAGTTGTTACTATTTTCTGGTGTAATGACATGGTACCATGCAGGATTAGGATATGATGAGTGTCCTTGGAAGTCACCCTTGCACCTGGTCACCAGGAGTTCGAGAGCATCCTTTCAAGGGGAGATTTAGTAAGGTTCCGTGTTTTGGATATTATAATCAGGATTTTTGTTTCAAGGAATCAAATTTTCCTCAATGTCAGTACCTTGCAACTAGTTGTAAGCGAAGTACAAGGAAATATCAGCCTATTTTCTCAAGTACAATGGATGATGGGGCCGACTCAGCTGACTCATCTGAGGGGATTGGTAAGGATGGGTCCTCCGAAGATGAAACTGAAGATGTAAGTTGAGTTCTCTGTTTCTGAGTTGTCACTTTTCAAGTTAAATTAGAATGATTTTGTGAGGAAAACTTGGATTTTAGTGGAATGCGGCTCATCCTTGCAGTTTTTCTGTGGGTTTGTCAAAATATGCCCATGTGAATCAAGCATTGCATCTCAAAGTTGACAAAAAGATGGGTCACAACACAAAACTTGCTGTTGTTATTTATTTTTTGATGCTGCTATTATTATTTGTTATTCTGTTGTAAATCCAAAATTTCAGCCAATTTCAGTTTTTTTCATCCTCCCTCTTTCTCTCAAGCATCTTGATTTTGTAATCATCTGTTGTTTGGGCTCTCTCTTAAGTCTTAACTGCTTGCCACCGTCCAGCTATTGCTTGAATTTTTGTTTTTTTTAAAAGTACTCTTTAGAAATGGTTAGATAATTGCACTGTAATTTGCTATGTTCCATCCAAGGGGTGGGGAAGCATTTTGAGTGCTCTAATGAATGCGCTAGGTCTAGTTTTTGTTTGTGATCATGGCATTTGTTAATTTCTTTTGGCCCTTATTACTAATGTTTATTCTATATAATTTTGCATTTATTGCTAATGTAAAATTTAGGCCCACTTTCAGCTGGAAATGTTAATTTGACAACTGGCGTCAATGAATGAAGTCCATGTTAGCTAATTAGGGGATTTTGTTTCCCTTTTCCCTTTCTTAATATATCATATGTTTGTGACGTCAGTAAAGTCATGCTGAAGGCCTTGTAAAGATGCGTTTTCAAATCAGTTGTGCTTCAGTTTTTGCACGTTGTTATCTTTTGCATTTCTATGACATTGTAAATTTGTAAGGAATGCACACACACACACACACACACATATATATGTATCTATATGCTTTTTGCTCTATAGCTGTAAGCATTTCTCTTCATAGTGATAAGTGGAATACTTTATTAAATTCATGTGCACCTTGTGCATCCACATTCACTGCTTTTGACTTGATTAAGCATCCTGACTTCACATTTTTCAGGTGAACAGTGAAATGCTTAGAGAAAATCTTGAAAGAATTGTTGGTGCAGATGACTCTGCCTTTAGTGGGATAGACCTGGCAACTCTTATTAGGGACAAGTATGGGAGATCCTATGACGTTCAACTAATAAAGAAGGTATGCCTTTACATGTGTACTGCATCGTAATGCTGGAGTTATGATGACTTAATACAGCTATACTGTCTTTATTTTGTATTTCCATGGACATATAATATCCCACTGTTTTATTTAACTTTTCAGAAGAGTCATGTCAATTTAGGATGTCAAGAAATGGACTAATTTTTATTTTAGAGTTAATTAAATCATGCCTGCCTAACTATGAGTCTATGACTCATTATCACTTTACTCCAAATATAAAAGCTACCCGATTTCAAACTTTATGCTAACACCATTAACAGAAGAGATTGAATTAAAATTCTAACCCTACTGTCAGACACAATTTAAGATAAATTATAGAGAGAAAAATAAAGGAAACCCAATTAAACTTCTTTTAAAAAATTGCTAGTGGCAAAAAGGATTTTGGCATAGCAAAATCAAATCAAGGTATGGGCCATGTGATAGATAGTCCTCTCTGGTGATTTAATTCTTCGCCAGTTTAGCTCTGGAGATTGTGAAGCGGTTAATCTATTGTCTCCAAATTCAGCCTCAAAACATTTGCAGATAAGGATTGACCACATTAATTGATTCAAGTTCAATCTAGGAATGGCAATGGGCTGGGGCAGGGTCAGGGATCACACTCCTCTATGAAGCACGGACACTGACACTGACACGGACACGGACACGGACACGGATACGGACACGGGACACGGCAATTTCCAAAAAATGGGGACACGGACACGGCAGGGGACACGGCGATTTTTTATATATATATATATATATTTTTATGTGTTATGTAGATTTGTATTACATTCATTCTAAATCAAAATTAACAAACACTAATATAGTACCATTAATTCAATAAATATAAGAGAGGCAAAAAATTCAACATCCAACATCCAACATTAAATATAAGGGGAAAACATCCAACATCTAACATCCAACAATATTCTTCACAAAAACACTAAATAAGAGACAAAGAAGAAGAAAAAAAAGAAAAAGAAAAAAAAATTAGGCCTATAATTTAAATAAAACAGCCGATCCCCGATAGTGAGAAATTCCCCGTCCTCGCCCCCGATCCCCGGCGGGAAACCCATCACCGCCCCCGCCCCCGCCCCCTAACAGGGATTGGGCTTCCCCGACCCCAGAAAATCCCCGTAACTCTCTCTCTTTCTGTTTAGCTTTCTCTCTCAAGAATAAATCATCATCGACAACATCATCATCAACAACAACATTATTATCATCAACAACATCATCAACGGCAACATCATTAAAAAAAAAAAGAAAAGAAATAGACACAGATCTGGCGGAGGAGGGGGGAAATCGATGGTGGCGGTGGCGGGATCTTCTCAGATCTACTATGGCAGAGGGAGGAGGAGGCGAGAGGCGACGGAGTATGAAGGTTTGGTGGTGGCCTGGCAGAGGAAGAGCCAACGGAGGAGGAGGCCACGAGAGGCGACGGAGGAGAAGGAGGAGGAGGAGGAGGAGGAAGAGGAGGAGGAGGCGGTAGTGGTCTGGAGGAGGAGGAGCCGATTGCGGAGAGAGAGAGAGAGAGAGAGAGAGAGATCAGAGGGTATAAATATAATAGAGGGGGGGTTATATATATAAATGGATAGAGGGGTATTATGGTAATTTTATTTCAGGGAGAAACGGGGACGGAGACGGGGCCGGGCCGGGTCCGGGGCTGTGAAAGTGATCTCCGTCCCCGGTCCGAAATTGATCAGGGTTTTAATTTCAAATACCATCCCCGGCTCGTCGGGGGTATTTTTCGGGAAAAAATTGCTCTTATCGGGGACGGGTGGTCAGGTCCCCGTCAGGCCGGGTTCCAATTGCCATCCCTTGTTCAATCTGGGAGCAGAAACTGAACCTGAAAGAAAGTGAACTGATTGTGGGGAGTAACCACTGGCTAACATGGACTGTTGCACCTATCATTCTCAAAACTAGGCAGAGAAAGTGTGGGGGAGAGAGGAACTCATTCATCATTCTGAAGCTTCAGCTATGAAAATTATAATTGTCTACAGAAGCATGCAGTTTAATTTTTTTTTTTTTATATGCTTTTACCACTTCGTATGTTCTTAAATCTCAAGTTCTACATTTGGCAAGATTATGAATCCATTCTGAAATATTTTAAATACATATCAGGTTGATCATTAAAGCAGTCTATCAACAATATTCTAGCGAAAATCAAAATGCTGATAATTTAATTCAGTGTAGCCCTTGCTATAACCAAATGAATAATTTTGTTCTTGTTAAAAACATCATCATTTTAGCTACCCACCAATACATGAGAGCTTGCAGCCAAATGTATAAGTTTCAAACAACCAAGAAAAGTGTATAAATATTCTACGTATTGATATTATCTATTGTTTTGATTGATTTTGATCAAATGGTTAGATTTTTATAATGACACAAATTGTTACAACTGACAATTGATTACACAGTTTTGTCAATTCTCAAAGCCAGTTTGAATAATAGGGTCTGGGGAACATCACGAATGATTTTACTTATTTAATGGTTTAGGAAGACAACATCATGAATGATTTCACTTATTTAATGGTTTTGGATTGGTTTAGGAAGCTTTTTTCTGGGAACAAAATCATTTTTATCCTTCATATTCTATCGTCAAAACCTTCACTACTATGCACCATTCTCTCTTTGTAAAATGTTCTGGTGAAATGCCGGAACTTCTGTCGTTTGGAGGTTCTTGAATGTTGTTTAAAGTTTTTCAGAGTTACATATTGATTAATGTGTCAATTGTGGCTTAGTTGATGTCAATGTGACTCGATTTTTTGCTTTGTCATCTTCTGTTTATTATTCTGATCCCTTGAAGTCATTTTGAGACCATGTTTTTCCATTTCGCATATTTTATGTACATTTTTTTATTTAGGAATTCATGGGAAGAAATCTCCTCGCTTTGAATGTCATGTGGAAGTACATGGAGCAGGTGAGCAAATTTTTGTCCAGAAACTTGTGGTTATAGATAAAGTGTTCGATTTATATAAAATTTCCGAAATATGCTGAATATGATGAACATTTTGATGAAAAATTGAAAGCTTCATATCACGGTTATGCTGCAGTCAGTGATCTATTATCTCATGGTACAAGATATTTTATTTTGGATCAAATTACTGTTATCAATCTGTTAATTATCATAGTTCTGTTTCTCTTAGAGCAGTATTGAATTGAATTTAAATTATTTGCTATCTTCACTATTTTTTTGATGTAGGACAACATTATTGATGGGATTTTAGGCCTGTAGGGTTTTAGGGTTTATAATGGATGTAACAAAGGAATTAGGATTTGGAAGTTTAGAGCAGTATTGAATTGAATTTAAATTATTTGCTATCTTCACTATTTTTTTGATGTAGGACAACATTATTGATGGGATTTTAGGCCTGTAGGGTTTTAGGGTTTATAATGGATGTAACAAAGGAATTAGGATTTGGAAGTTTAAAGAAGCAAGGTAAACAAATTTTAGGGCTGTTCTGGGTTCTGTTAACAGTATCCTGGCTAGTTTTAGATTATTTAGGTTTGTTAAATGAAGTTTGGATATTGGTAGAGGCATAATAAGGTTTGGTTATGGCTTAATGACTTGAAAGAGTAAAAAATTAGAAGGAAAAAAAAAAAAAAAAAAATGGAAGAAGAAGAAGAAGAAGAAGAAGAAGAAGAAGAAGAAGAAACTCTATGGGTAAATTATACAAATAGTCCCTATAGTTTACACGATGTGTTAATTTAGTCCCTGTTGTTTTAATTTGCTCGATTTTGTTCCTTAATTTAACGGATTGTGTCATTTTGGTCCAATAAGTAATGGTTGTTAAGTTTGGTGGACGGAAAGTCAAATTATGTGTCAATTTGGTCCCTCTCAAAATCGAGCAAATTAAAATAACACGAACCAAATTGACACATTGTGTAAATTATAGAGACCAAATTGACACATTATGTAGACTTTCCATCCACCAAACTTAACAACCGTTATTTATTGGACTAAAATGACACAATTTGTTAAATTAAGGAGCAAAATTGAGCAAATTAAAAAAATAGGGACCAAATTGACACATCATGTAAACTACAGAGACCATTTGCATAATTTACCCAAACTCTATTGTTCCCCTATAATCCTGTAGGCATCACACGTACTACTAAAATTTCATCATACAATACCAAAGAGCTACAGTAGTTACTGAAAGTGATTTAAAGCTTGCTCAATACTGAATTGGAGGCATTATGTGTGACACTCATGACGCAAACTGCATCCTCATTGGATAAAGGATTTGACCAGTGGATAGCCATGAGCTACCAAAGGCGTACTTATATCAAGTGAAATGTGCATTTGGAAATATATGATTCATTTGAAAATTTCTCTTTAGCGAAAGCATGCTGTAATAGAACCTGCGTAATCCTAGTGATACCATAAACCCATTAGATACTTAAGTCAGAATATCATTCATGTATTACAAAGTGGGTGTACATTTTGTACATAATTGGCTATAATTCAAAGACATAAATACATAATCAATTTGAAGGACAAACCGAAAGCATGTTGGAATAAAACTTGTGTAATTGTAGTGATACCATAAACCCATCAGAGCAAATGCTTAAATCTAAATGTCGTTTATATGCTGTATACAAAATGGGTGTAGATTTTGTACATAAGTGGCCATAATTCAAAGACCTCAATACATATGACATGATAATCAATTTAAAGGACCCATCGGCCATACATATATACATCATAGCATGCACAATGTCTTCCGTCTTGGTTTCTACTTTCTAGATCAATGAAATGATCTCCTTAGCTATGTACATAAATACATATAAACGCTTGACATCTTTTCTAAACTCCCATCACCTGAAAACTCTTAAGATGGAATGGTGTGAGCCAATGCTCAGCGATAATAGCATACCAAGTTTACAATAGAATCTATATGGATATCATCATATACATGTACCAAAACAGAGCCCTTTTATAAATCAAAGTTTATATATAAAATAGACTTCATATTCTAAACTAGATTCCTTAGAGATTTTATAAAGATACATATAATGTTCTTTGCCAGGGGAAAACTGTATGATGTGTATCATATAGTTAAACAAAAAGTCATATGATGACCTCCCAGAATCTCTATAATGATGTAATGATATGAGGCCATCACAACAGAACTAATACAGAGGGATATCCAAGCGAACTACCAAAACCGAAACATATAAGCCACTTTTTTGCAGCGAGGGTGAGATATCTCGGTTATGGCACTACTAGCAAACTTATTATCTCCTAGAATCTAGGACTAACCATGGATGACACTAATAGATTCAAAATATATAATCATTTCAAAACAAAATACATATCCGTAGGTTTTCATTGCATATAGATCGAATGACATTTTAAAGCATAATATAAGCATTTGAAGCATAACATAGGTAGTTTGCATTTAATGAAACCAAGTATAAGGTATTGCTCCAGGTATAACATTACTCCCCTTAGGTCCTTTGAACTCTTAAAACACCTTAAGTTTTCTTAAGCAAGTATTTTAAACAAGTACATTGATACACAAGTTCAATCACAGTGGAATGGAATGATTCTTCCCTTAATGAACTTTAATTGTTCTTAAATTGGTTTAAGGTGTATTAGGGCTTAAGGGCCTTATATATGATTTTATTTATCTCTCAAAACACAATGAACATAACCGGAGGTGGGCCCTCTCAATGGGTTTGATGGGCGCTAACGCCCACTGCCTCTGACTTGAGACAGATTCAGCGTGTGGACTTCAAATGGGCATATTTCATTCATCGAGACCCAGATTTGGGCAAAATTTGTGCCCAATTGGAAGCTTTGGAAGTTTAGTTTTTAGTGGTGGTGGTCTTATACAAAAAACTCAAGTGTTGAAAAAGTTGCGATCATAAAAGCACATGCTCATCGGAGGTTATGTTCAATTTCAAGGAAAATCTTAATTCCAAGTGTTCTTTTTAGGTCTCATACATACAAAACCTAAATGTGTCTCAAGTATGGAGGAAGAGCAGTACTATCATCTAAGAAGCACAGACACGGACACGGACACGGACACGTGACACTATACGGACACGCAGACACGCATTTTTTTTAAAAATGTAGGACACAACACGTTGGGAATATGTACAAAATATATAATTTCTTATATTTATTATATGTCATATTTTTAAATATTTAATAGTTAGTCAGTGTAATTTTATCAAATTTATCAACTTTAGGTATGCTATTTTAGTAAAAAAACTTAAAAAAAAAAAGCCCAATTAGTACACATTAATGTGTGTTTGGGAGGGGAAAGATTGAGTACACACCTAACCTTTGACATAATGCACAAAGTGGTGGTCCTCAGAGTTGAACCCATAACCTCAAGGTTATTAGGCCAAGTCTTGAGAAAAAAAGGTCCTCAGCGTGTCCCAAGTGTCCCAGCGTCTCTGACTCTCTAGCATGTCTGACACGTGTTTGGAGTGTGTCCTGTGCATGTCTGTGTCAAACACGTGTCGGACACCTGTACATCACCTCCGGAGAGGTTTCCGTGCTTCATAGCCTATCATCTTGTAGATTGAAAGGTTTTGGGTGTTAGAGATATGGTATTGTTTAATCAGCCATTGCTAGGAAAATGGTTGTGGAGATTCTCTCTTGAGGAATCTTTGGAGAAGGATGGTGGTGGGGAAGTATGGGTGTGTTATGGGGGGAGTGGTCTACTGGGCCTGTTAAAGGGTCTTATGGGATGGGATGGGGGTTTGGAAGAGGAGTACAAATGTGTGGGATGATTTTCATAACTTCACATATATTAATGTGGGTAATGGTCGTTAAGCTACACTTTGGCTTGATTCTTGGTGTGGGCACAAGCCTTTGAGGGAAGTGTTTCCCAACCTTTTCAGAAATACCGTGGTAGAGAAGTTTTTGTGGAGGGGTATTAGGATCTATAGCAAGGAGTGTGGGTGGAGGGCTCTACTGGAGTCTTGAGTAGGAGGTGGAGTCAGTGGAAAGCTGCTCAGTGTACTTGTAGTTTATTCTTTTCAGGTGGAGACAAGACTCTGATTTGGGAAGGAGCATGAAATGGTAGATCTCGTTTTACATGAGGCTTCTTGGGTAAGGGGACAGTAATTTTCGTTGGAAAGGAGTGTGGCACTAAGGCTTACTCCACCAGAGGTAGCTTTCTTTTCCTGGATAGTAGTGAGGGATGCTACTTTTATCATTGATAATCAATCTGAGGAGAGACAAGTTCTTGATGGACTCTTGTATGTGCAAGTGTGCAGGGAAATTAGTGAATCACCTTTTGTTATGGTTGTACAATGGTTTGGAGTTATTCTCAGTTTTTGGTATGGAGGTGATGCTGGGATTGATGAAGGATTTTCTTATTGGCATAGAGGTTATCTGAGGTGGAGCTTTAGGAAGGCTTGGGGTGTGGCACCTTTATGCCCCTTGTAGTGCATGTGGAGAGAGATGGAGAGAGAGGAATTGTAGATCTTTTGAGGGGAATGAAAGCTTGATATTTCCATAAAAGGATCGTTGCTGGCATCCCTAGGATTTTTATTTTATTTATTTTTTTATTTATTTTTTTCCAAAGGATTTTCCTCTCTTTGAATTCCTTTGTAGACGTTTTTTGGGGGATTTGCATAATCCTGTTCATATATAAGCTTTTTTTGGGTCATGTTTTTGTTCTTACTTTTGGCATACATTGTATAGAGGGTTATGACCCTTTTGGTACTTCTCTAATGTATTAATCAGTTCTTATCAAAGAGAAGTGAAAAAAAGAAAAAGAAAAAAATAGAGTTCTTTGAGAACATTTGTGAACAGATCTTAATTGCCAACACTTGTTGGAAAAAGAGACTGTATCAGGGTACCCACATTAATTGCTAAGATTGGTTGCAATGATAAATGAGGAAACACCTTCTAAGATCATTTAGGTATGTTCCAAGTAGACCCATGAGTGCACCAGTAGGGATGAGTGATTTGATTGGAAGGTGGCAATAGTCAATACCTTGTCCATGTCGGTGGAATAATTTAAAGTTTTACCTTGACCATTGATTCAATGGTAAAACCTTGACCTAATAACCTTGAGGTTATGTGTTCAAGTCATGGGGCAACCACTTTGTGCACTATGCCAAAGGTTAGGTGTGTACCCAATCTTTCCCTTCCTAAACACACATTAATATGTACTACTAATTGGGCGTAATTTTTTTTTCACCTTGCTCTCATATGCACTGTTTGGAATGGCTTGTTGATGTAAGACACAGCCTTCAGTGAGGAATTTTATTTTCTCCCACAATCAGATGTCAATGGCAAGGGCTTTGATTTTTGGGGCTTAAGGTTGGAAAGAAGAATTAAGGTAAAAGGATGTTTTAAAGATCAAATAGACTGAGGCTTTTGGCTGTTCTGGGTTGGGATTTTGATTTCAAGGTCTGAAGGTTTCAGGCTTCCAATAGAAGTCTGAATGTCTCTGCTGAGTGATACAGAGGCTTGCTGGAATCAACCAGACAGAAAGAAATAAAGAGAAGGAAAGAAGGGATGGTTGGAGCCTTTAGAATCTCTCTTATGGTTTTTCAGCAATCTCACCTAGAAGGGTTTAATGGAGTCTTTTAGACTATTATACACATTTCAAAATATTAGAAGTGGAACGTATGCACGGGGTAGATGGTGTTGAATAGCTTGCCATACGTTGTTTGTCTCATTTCCTAATAGATTAAGCTTTGGGGACAGTTAGTGATTTCATATTGTATCAGAGCTTATGTGGAGGATCTTGGGGTCAAGTCTCTCTATTTGCATTTATTCCTCATTTCCATTTTGCCTCTCTCTCTCTCTCTCTCTCTATGTCTGTTTGCATCACCATGTGCAAGACGAGGTTGCACATGAGGGAAGGTATTGAATACCTTGATATACATATTGTTGGACACAATCCTAGCAGCTTAAGCTTATGGGACCTTTGGTGACTTAACATAGGGTTGTTATAGTCATTTGTGGGGTCATTTACAGTGAACTTCAGAAATTTAGAAACAATCAATACTTGGGTTGGAAACCCTGGTGGAAGAGCAAGTATTCCTAGTATATGGAAAGTAATGTTGGGTTGATTTGCAGTTGAATGTATTAAAACACAATAATTATGCAAATGGTGTTAGTTCTTTCTCAGTAGTCAGTGTATTAAGATGTTACTGTTTCACCATCTTGTTTATATTCTAATGTCATTGCTGCTTATATTTTGACAAAATAACAAATGGTATTGTGAACTTCGATCACCAGATTCACCACAGTAGTAATGAGGCAATTAGATGTTTTGAATTTTTTTGTTAGTTTGGAGATATAGATGACACAAATTATGTAAAACTGTAGTTATTATCATCTTATAGTATGACTGTAAAAGCTATACTTTAGATCATACCTTTGGTTCTTGGAGGTTTGGTTTCAAGTCTCTCCATATATATTTGTTCTGCCAATCTGTTTTTCATTGTTCTCTCTGTTCTGCTTGCTTCACCCATTCTGATTCTCTATCTCTTCATGTGACATGTGAGAGCGAATAATATGCACGTGAGGGAGGGTGTGAGAGCTTAAACACATATTTTAGGCTGCTCTCTAATAGCTAAAGTATTTTGCATAAATGATTGGCTGAGAGTGATAATGCTAAAATTGGCAAAAAACTGGAGTCTTGGCTGCTTTTTTTAAATTTTTTTTAAACTCCTGAATTCTGTACTTATAATCTGTATATCTGTAGGACTTTGTGCAATACTAGCACAAATTTTTTTTGTCATTTGCACATATAAATAAAATCTCCGGCACTAATATAGTTGTTAAAGTTGCATGCTTTCTGAAACAGATGCAACCCCATTGTTTAATTTCACAACTTCATATGAAGCATTGCGTTAATTATTTTTTCTTTTAGAGATCCTTTCCACTGACTGAAGAAGAGTATTTACTGAGGCTTGATGATGTGGCAAACACTTTGAAATGTTGGGGAGCTGTCTCACATATTCGGAATAGCTTAGCAAAATTGAAAGAGCGACCTCGGATAGGCAAGGTAATTTAATTGATATAAACATTGCAACTTCATAGTAGAAAACAAGGAAAAATAAAGAGCGAAATAGAGTGGGGGACTGAAATTTGATGGAAAACCTTATTTATTATTTGTGGTGTAAATGAAAATATCAGTCACATCTTAGAACACTCAAAAAATCAAATGTTGAGCACAAAGACACTAAGTAGCTTGAAAAATCAAAATAAAAATGTTCAATTTCTTTTGCTCATATTTTTTTTCATTACCACATCCCATGTCAACCTTGATCCTTCCCTCCACCTAACATCTCCACTTATCCTATCACTCTTCCTTATCTTTTTTTTTTTTTTTTTTTTTCTAGGTTTGTACATGACCAAACCATCCTAACCTAGTTTCTCGTGATTTATCTTGGGTAACTATTTCTAAATTTTTTTTATCATGCAACAAAAAAGTTTTCTTGGAGAATAAAATAACCATTTGTGTATTGTCTATTATTTATTTAAACCCTATGAGTATTTTATTTTCATTTGAAATAATTTTTCTTTCTCATTTGTGTTTTTTTTTTTAATTTTTTTTTTTCATTTTTGTTTTTTTTTTTTTTTTTTTTGCCCTCTTCAAATTACTAAAAATTCTTGGTAAATTAGCTATCTTTGAAAATTCTTTTGGTCGCTCAGAAATAAAGGACAGAGGGTAGTAAAATTTCATCTGGAGTTTATATGGAAAAAATTACAGATTTTCATTTCAGACCATAAAAATAGGAAGGTCCAGGGATGTCTGAGGCCTCTGTGCCACATTTTTATTTATTTTATATGAATATGCTGGTCTAGATAAATTGTTTATACAGTAATCTCGTGTTTCATATATTTAAGTTTGTGTAATTTACCACCTCTGTTGGAACCACAAAACTTAGGTATGCTATGGGAGTGAACTTTGTGGGACTAGCAATAGCTGGAGACTGCAGCCTCTGAGGCCACCAAGTATGATAATATATGTGATGATGGTAGATCATACTGTCTTGTTTAACTCACAGCCTTTTGTCAGGGAGGGCATAAATTTATTAAAATTCTTGGGCAAACTAAACCCCTAATGGCAAATTAAACTCTTGTTATAAAACTCATGGCAGCTTTGAATGGAAATAAGAAATCCCATAATACCCTTGTAATGGTGAAATGATAAGAAATCTTACCATACCTCTGTGTAGTATTAGCTGAACTGATGTTTCTGGCTGTGTCGTTATTTTTATATTCTTTGCTTTCATCCTTTTTGGAAATCTGGTGTTTACAAAAATTCTATAATTTATGTTGATTTTTAGTAAAACATCATTGGCCAATAATTTGACAGAACATATGAGCACATAATGGAACATTGAATGACAAAAGTGGATTCACATACCCCTCCTTCATAAGGAATCTGTAATTAGGCTTATTGAATCATTACTAATTATGCAGTATGATTATTTGTTCTTAATATTTGTGCAGGCTGTAAGCATTTTTATCGACATGGATGAGTCTGGAGGCCGTGCAAATGAATGGATTTACAAATAGATTGTTTGTTTGGACAAAGCCAGAACCATATTTAAAGAGGAGGCACATCCTTTCTCCGCTGGTTCACTGTTCAAGGTGTGGATTCTATTTTGATACACTCTGGATAAAATCCTGATGAAATCTTGTTGTTTTGCATTTCCCTAATTTTTCTTGTTAATTATACATGTATATATGAATAATGTAATAGATATACATATGCTTATCCTTCATTAGAAATCTACAAAACTGATTCTAGTGATATAACAAATTTAAAACCTTATTAGACATTAACATTTTTTTACCTTACCGGTATTAAACCATATATTAGTAAACAAAATTGTGTCTGTTAGGTAAATTTTAACCATCCAAAATCTCAAATTTGTTTGTAACATTCATAAATAGTAATACATTAGTCTTAAAAGAAGATTACAACAAGACAAAAGAGGATTCTCTATGCTTTAAAATATCATTCAACCTTAATATAAATATTTTGAATTCAAATTCTTCATTCCCTAGTTTCTTTCTACTTGATAATTTAGGAGTGATTGGATATATCCAATTATTTGTCCTATTTTGGAAAATTATTTTTTTAATCAATGAATTTAAATGTTTTCAAAAAAAGAAAAAGAAAAAAAATGATATTATCATAAACAATCTAAAATTAACTAATTAGGCTTAGCCTAGTTGGCCACTATGATTTTCTTAATGTTGTGTTTGGTTGGGAGATTTTGGGAGGAATTTGGAAAGGAAAAGGAATAATGTAAGTGAAATGTGAATAAAATATATTTACTTTTTACCTAATTTCACACACATTTTCTCTTTCTTTTTTCAAATCACTGCCCAAATTCCTCAACCAAAAATAGCATAAGAGTTTAGTTCATAGGGAGAGGTCTTGAGTTTAACTCTCCTTTGGGGGAGTTGAATTAAGGGGGCAAGCACTTGGTACTTTGCAAAGAGTAGGGAGAGTAACTCTCATATATACTAATTTAGACCAAGTTTGGGAAGTGTAAAAAAAGTCAAAAAGTTAAAAAGTTATCACTATTTACCAAAAGTCAAAAATTACGGCTGCATAATTTTCAATCTTAATTTTTTCCTATACACTAATTTATACAATTTTTTAATATACATTTTTTTATAAAAAGTCAAAAAGTTAATCTAAACATTTTCTCAACTTTTTAGTTTAAAAAGACAAAAAGTACACTTATTTAGGACATCCCTTAATAACTAACAATTGACTTTTGCCAATTAAAAAAAAAAAAAAAAAAAATCTAAAATTTAAATAAGAGTTAAAATGAATTTTTAATATTGGAATTAATTTGAATTGGTCTACAATCGGTGTATATTAAACTTAAAAATAGGATGAATGAATCAAATGAATATCATAATTAATTTGAAATCTAAAGAAAGTTCAAATATTGCTTTTTCTGTAAACAGAACTTAATTGGAATAATATATTTTATCCAACATAAGGATATATTAAACTTAAAAAATATAATCAAATTGTAAAACACTTGTAAATGAGCATCAGTTTCTACAAATTCAAACTTGTATTATGTGGTGAGCATCATTCAGATGATCTAATTATATTACGAAACGATTGGTTTTAAAAATGGTTGAACTTGCAAGCACAAAATTTTATAATCAAAAGAGAAATACTAGTTTGAATAAAGACTTGAGAAATGGAAAATGGCCAAAAGCTTGAGGAGAAAATTAATAATTATAGTTGTTTTGATCAATGGAATAAAAAATTATGAAGTTTAGAATAAGCTAATGTTTATGATAGACAATATAAGTTTAAGATTATATTTATGCAAGATTTTCAAAGGTAAAAGTAGTTTGACATTATTTATTTAGAAATAAGAACATAATGAATTAAATTTAATATTGTAAACTTATTAAAGTTGAATATTTAAGATTATCAATTTTCTCTCTTTGTTTAGTCATAACTTGTATTAGTTTTTTTTGTTTTCAAATATATTATCAATTCTCTCTCTTTCTGTTTCCATTTTTGTTCTTTCTTTTCTTTTTAACTTTTTTTTAAAAAAAAAACTTAAAATTAAAATTTTAAATCTTGTTGGAAAATCAGTATTTTGTGTGCAACTGTATAGTGTAAATTGAAATAGAGTTGGACAAAAACACTATTGAAACAGAAACCGAAAAAGAAACAGTAACAACACTATTTGAACTAAAACCAGAGACGATCAATTATTGTTTGTGAAAAATAGGAGACACATGCACTATAAAACAGAAACTCACAATATTAGGCTCTGTTTGGTAACGTTTACGTTTTCAGTTTATATTTACAAAATTTTTATAAATTGATTTTTGTTTATTTCTAGAAAAATATAAACTACAAACGCGTTTGGTAATTGACAAAATGTTTAAAAAAATTTAAGAATATAAAAAAGAGTGAGAAATGGCAAGTTGTGGCAAGTGGCAGCGGAAGACGGTGGTAGAAAGTGGTGACGGTGGGTGGTGGGTAGCTGGTGGTGGGTGGGGGGGTGACGATGGCGGGTGGTGGGTGGTAGCGAGTGGGTAGTGGTGGTAATGGTGGTGGGTGGTGGTGGCAGGGGGGGGGCGGGGGGGTGGGAGGGGGTGGTGGTGGCGAGGAGGGGGGGGGGGGCAATCTTCTTGGGAACCAAACATGGGGTTAGAGGAATTAACCAAAAGAAAATAACAAATCAACCCAAAAAAAGTTAAAATGCATTTCAAACCTCTGCAAGAAATTCAGCTGAAGTAATCCCTGTTTCTTCTCTTAGTTCCCTTACGGCTGCATCTTTTGGATCCTCGTTTTCGCCAATGCCACCCTGTTCACCGAAAATAACATTTTTCCATCTCATATACAAGAAAACCAAATTTCCCCAACAAAGAAAACACATGCCATACAAGATTTTATAAATGTCATAATACATTTGCTGTCTACTGGGCATCTCAATTTTAACAATTAATGCAGGTTTTGAGGAGAAATTATTCAATGTTCTTGGAGCAATGCCCCATTCCACTTACTAATTAACACTTTGCACACAAGGCCGGCCTTGAGGTAAGGCCAACAAGGCAACCTCCTCGGGACCCCAAATTCTGTCTAAAAAAGAGGGGCCCCAAATGATTTAGTTCTTATGTTAGGTTTGGTTCATTGAAATGAACTGAAATGAAATAATCATTCCATCATAATGTTCATTTTTTTGTTTAGTTCACTAGAAAAATGAAAAAAAAAAAAAGTACAAATAAAATCATCATTCACTATTGTGAGAGAATAGTTATTCTATAGAGAGGCTAAGGAATGACCATTTCATTCAATTTCGTTCCAGTGAATCAAACATTACATTATTGTATTAGTAGTTTAAAAATGAAGTTTCACTGAATTTTTTTTTTAAAAATAAATAATAATTGAAGTGATGAACTTTCCAATAGTAATGAATGGTTATTTGCTAAATATACGAATTGTTTATAGAATATTGTCGCCTATACCAGTTACAATTGCCTCTTGAGAATAATTTTTTTAAAGCTGAAATTGATTTAATTTTACATTCAATTAGTTACTATGATTTATTCAATTATAAAAATCTTATGAAATTACCTAGAAAATACAATATTATAATTATTGTGAAAAACAAATTATAATTGAATTTTTTGCTAATACAATATTTTACAATTAGATTTATTACCTAATATTTTAAATAATTTTCGTGCATAGCACAGATAAAAAAAACTAGTAATTTTAGTATTTATATATGCAATCAAATTTTGTGTCAGTACAAGCAAAAAAAAAATCTAATTGTGTTTACATATGTTTGGTTGGAAGATTTGGGAAGAATCTGGATCCTCTGCCATGGTTATCTGCGGTAGTTCCTGTAGTGCCTCCAAAACGACGTCGTTTTGGTGGAAATCTTAAAAAAAATAAAATAAAATAAAAAAAGAGCAAAAGCACAGAGAAGAAAAAGAAGGAAGGAAAAGGAAGAGGAATCACCGGCATCATCGATGAGACCCTCCGCCTCCCTACCTCGTCGGAAAACACTCAAGCTACCATCACCACCGTCACAGCCGCCAAAACCTCTGAAAAAAAAGGGCTTCATCCTCTTCTTGGATTTATGTTTTCATTTTGATTAGAGTGTTGTTACTATGATTTCAATCTAGGGTTTCTTTGCACAAGGAAGAGAGATATGGCTCCTCCATAATAGAAAAAACTCAGTCTCCTCTCGCAAGTTGGTTTAGATGCATGAACAATCAAACTGGAAACAGAAGGTAAAACCAATTTCTAAAACTATGAAACCCAGAAATTGAAAAAACCAATTTCTTCGTTAGTTTGTGTTTTCATTAAAAGGAATTGGTTTATTGCCAAGTGAAATTGATGGGTTGAGTTTAATTTGTGTTCAAAGAGTGGTTTGTTGTAGACTCATGGTAAGAAATTGTGATTGCTTGGAGCAGTAGAGAGTTATGATATATTCTCTCTCGGATTTAGGTCTCAAATTTGGGAATAGAGTGTAAGAAAGAGATGCTTAAAATAAAAATAAATAAAAAAAAGGGTGCCGAAACGTCGTTGTTTTGGCACCACAACAGGAACCACTAGAGGAAAACCCTGCAGAGGATTTGGACTCTCCTTAGTACGGCCACAGATTCCACGTCACCCTTCACGACTTCGTCATCTCTCTTTAGAAACCTTGATCTGTCATAATCCTTGTCAAGGCATGCTCTCTCGTCGACCAAACCATCGGCACTCTCTCTCTATATATATATATATGTATGTATGTATATCTGCTTTGTTGACAGGTTCAAAAAATTGGACTTATAATGATTCAGATAGATAAAGAGAGAACTGTGGTATAAATAAAAGAAGGAACCGATAGATAGGTTCAACAAATATTTAAACGAATAGATAAACGGTATGAAGAAATCCATTGGTCATCCCAAAACTTAATGGATTGCCCGTGGAACGCTCTCAAAATATAGTATAAATCAACGCAAGAGATTCACAAGCATAATATGAAATGTATTACTTTCATTCATCAGAGTTTATATTACAAAAGAGATTACATGCATTACACGTTCATAAATATTCATTCTGAAACTACAGCATGTAACACTAATTAATAACAACAAAATAAATGCCCTACGGGCTTACATCTTTCCAAGAGATAACTTGGTTATAACAAAAAAGAGTCATAGGCTCTTTACAATTAAAGCCATCGGTTTAAAAGAAAACATATAAACACAAAACAAAATAACAAAAATAGAGCCTCCAGTCCCTAAACCTCCTAAGCTATGTCCTTTGAGGCGGCATGTCACCTGTACCTGAAAATGGT